CTATCTATCTATCTATCTATCTATCTATCTATCTATCTATCTATCTATCTATCTATCTATCTATCTATCTATCTATCTATCTATTGTAATTAACCAATTAAATATTTTGAAATGTGTAAAGGTTGCAAAAAACAAAATTCAAAGCACCCATGACGTTAATGTGAATGGATAAAACAACACAAATACAGAATAAATGAATGAATGAATTAATGAACTAATTAATTAATGAATTAATGAATTAACCATTTAATGAGTTAACCAATTAATGAATTCATTTATTAATTTAAAAAATGGATGAGGAGTGTGAATGCTGGGACAGCAAAATGGTTTTGAACCACGAGTAACATGAGAATGTCACAAATTGTAATCCTGTAAGGACCAGAACATTATGAAACCTTTGATTTGATTGATTTACACCTTGTCACATTTATTTGTGGTAAAGTTATCGAAGACTTACAAGGAAATAACTCAGCCTAGTTGTTCTAAAGGATGTGTTGCTTCCTAATTATGTCTCAGCATTTCAATCTTCCCATGTATTTACAGCTTCCTGATTGTCCTATTTTAGGACACAGCTTTTAGATGTATTTTATAACTGGTTTTACTTTAGGATTATAGATTGAAGGTCAACATCTGCAGTTTTCCTCACTGCACAAGTCTAAACTTTGATTCACAGGGCCGTCCACAGTCATTAGCGGTGTGTTCACTCAGGCTCCCACTCAAACCAACAGACACTGTTTCATACGAAAAGTAGTGTTTTTTTATTTGTACTTCTTTCCTTTGTTACAGTGGAGACAGAAACAGGAAAGCATGGCAAGCGGGAGGAGAGAGAGACAAAAACAGATGTTTTACGTTTGCGTCTTCTCTTCCCCTATACTCCCCACCTTTCACCTTTCCTCAATTTACAAAACTGAAAACTTGTACAAGTCATGCTTTTTTCGTTTTTTTACTGCATCTTTTTCCTATCTGCATATAAGAAGAGTCCAAAACCGAGTTAAAAGAGAGGAGCAGGCAGCTATTTTAGTGCGTTTCTCCTACTCTTTTACTCCACTTGCACACAGATAAAAGCCATTGAAAACACTCTGAAAGGTTGAGACTAACACACCACTCTGGTCAGACTGCTCGCTTGTTTCAAGCAAGTGACTGTGCATGCACCAAAGCACCCAAGAGACGTCTTGACCAACCGCTGGTTAATTGAGCTTTGCGTAGGTATGATGCATGCACTGTTGGCCTCAACACAGAAGAGCAGGATGAATGATGAGGAGAAAAGGAGGAAAAAGAGGCAGGGACAGAGATAGAGAGAAGGTTTCAGTGTCACAAGATTATATTTATTGAAAATAATCCCATGTTCTCCTGTTGGTACTCACACACAGTCACTCCCCACAGCCCTCAGGTCCTCTCACACAGTATCTCAGCTAAGGAGAAGTCTTTTTATAATGAGCTGGTGAACGGAAACATTAGACCTGGGCATGAGTGTGCGCAAGCGAGTCATGGTGCTGGAGGAAAATGGAGCGAGTGGATGATAGCCCAAAAAGAAAAACCAAAAAAAAAAAAAAACAACCAGGTTTGAATGGAGGTAGAGATGTTAGGAGAGGGGATTTACTCCTCCTTGTCCTCTCCGTGTGTGATGACGTAGCAGATGTTTTTGTAGTCCACATTGCCAGCCACATCAGGGGGGAAGGCAGCCCACAGGTTTTTCATCTGAGGGGGATCACAGAGAGATCTTAACCCGGAGCAAGAGAAAACCCAAACTGAATATGACTTGACAGGAAAAAAAAAAGTTTTRAGCTCACCTCCTCAGCGCTGAACCTGTCGCACTGGGTGGTCAGGAGCTCCGCAAGGCTGAAGAAGACATTAAATAAACCTGAGATATGCTTCAAGTAACCGCTGTGACACAAGTTGAAAGTGATAACTCACATCTTTGGAAACGTGGTTCTGTGGAAAGCTTTAGAACAAACTAATCTAAATATCTTGTGATAGATTTTTAACCTCAATTTGGAGACATAGAGTTTGACACTATAAATCACATGTGTCAAACACAAGGCCCGCGGGTGACTCATGTGTGGCATTATTTTTTTTACTTAACATGAAATTTGTTTCTTATATCAATGGTAAACTTTAAATTTATGGTTAAATGCAACAAAATAAATTTAATAAAAATAAATGAAATAAYGATAATTTAAAAAAAATCCTGTCCCTGAGCTGTTGGCTTTAAGTAACTGAGCAGTTTAGTTGGATAGCACAGTACTAATGTCTGAAAATAAGCTGCTTTAAAGTCACCATCAAACATAAACTAAATCTGCCATAATGCAGCTACTTACTAGAAACTCATCATTGAGTAAAACTTTATTTGTTTTACTTTTAATAATATTTCTGTATTTATTACAGATTTGGTCAGTCATACACTTAGTTCTTATCAGTGTTTAAAAGAGGACGTGTTAAAACTTTGTTTAGTCAAAGTTAAACATGAAGCATCAAAGTTCATTACAAGTGGCTCTTCGAGGGCCACCATAACTCTCATGTGGCCCTCGGTGAAAATGAGTTTGACACCCCTGCTATAAATAAAGATGGACAAAGTGACATTAACTTCCACTGTCTAATCTTACAGCAAAAATGTTTGGTTTTTGGGTGCTGCCATGTTGAATTTTTTGATGGGGCTGTACCCTCAATGCAGAAGTACCACCTGCACTCTCTCCTCATTCTCTAACAGGCTGGTGTGTGTATGTGTGTGTATGTATGTGTATGTATGTATAGGGCTGGGCGGTATGGCTCCCAAAAAAAAAATCTGATTTTTTTCATCGCAAATTAGATTTTCGATTTTAATCAATTTTGCTTCCCACTTTACCGAGTGCCTCTGTTTCAGGTGTTGAAACAAATTTGTTATACTCCTGCTTTTTGTGGCAGGAGTATAGATTTTGCAGTGAGGAGTTTGTTGCTCCAAGTCTGAGGTTGCAAAACCTAACCTGTTCCAGATAACTGAAGAAACACTGCCTTTTTTGAGAAGTGGATCCTCTTTGCTAGCTACCATATTGTCATGTCGTGTACCAAGTGTCTTGAGGGACAAGTGGGGTGACCTCTGAACTTACAGAAGCCCCAAAGAGTGCACTGGTGGGAAAATAATCTCGATTTTTCCTAAATTAAATCTTTATAAATGGCAAATTTGAACGAATTGATTAAATCAATTCATCGCCCAACCTTAACCATGTATAAAGCATCTTTGAATATGCAACAGCAAGAACTGGGTGAAAATGTCCCATTTGTTTAAATGGAGTGGCAGGACTTCAAATTTATACCAGAGTTAGCCACTAGGGGGAGCTCATTCTTTGTGGCTTCCACTTCTGGCTTCTGGTCCTGTTTCTAGTTCTAGTAGAAGTCGATGGTTCAAAAAGAGCTGAGACTTAAGTGGACTGTAGTTAACCTCAGTCTCAGCAAATTCATAGGAGTTCTTGTCAATGCTATTTTATAAACTTTAATGATAATTTCACAATCAATKAATAAATAAATAAATAAATAAACAGAAGTTTGTGGTGATTTAAAGAAATATCTACAACAAGTAAGAAATTGATTGTTTATAATGTTATCTACACTGAACTGTCACTGTAAAGTGGAAATTCTTACAAATCCTTCTTAATGGTGCCAGTGCCCTCGGGGTCCAGGACCTTGAAAGCGCTCACAATGACGTCCTCGGGATCGGCACCTAAACAGTAGAAGAAAGTCAAAGATGGAGAAAACAAAAAGTGTTGAACTATAGATAATTGTTTTGCWAAGTGAGAAATTACTTGTTAAAAACCAAGCACCAAGCAAAGATGAAGACATAGTGAATATGTCAACACACCCTTGAGCTTCTCGCCGAACATGGTCAGGAAGACGGTGAAGTTGATGGGGCCGCTGGCCTCCTTCACCATGGCCTCCAGCTCCTCATTCTTCACATTCAGCTGGCCCATGCTGGCCAGCACGTCCCTGAGGTCGTCCTTGCTAATGATGCCATCTCTGTTCTGGTCGATGATTGTGAAAGCCTGCCCAGGAAAAAGAATATACTTATGAAAAATTAGTCAAACATTTCTATAAATCTATAATAAATTGTGTCATTCAACAGCTTTTGTTTAGTCCATCTTGAACTAAAGTTGAATAAATGAGACAATAAAAAGAACGTATTTCTCACAAACCCTTGTCAAAAGACTTGTTAACRGTGATTATAAGTGGGAGATAGTCTGCCAAGGTAAACGTGTAAATGTGGAGCTGTTATCCGCCCCTCTTGTCACATAGCTCGGCGTTTCACCCGCTGAAACCAAAGATAGCATTGCAAACTTTTTGGGACTTGGCAGCTGGTCGGCCACTTGTCTCTCTAAGGTGTTAAAATGGTTTCGGAATGTGAGACAAGCCCCTTGCGACATTTAAGGAGGCGGTTTGATTACAGCTGTCATCCTTTTTGTCTTGTGACCGAATCTTCTGACTATGTCACCAATGTCCCTTCACCTTTCCAGACCTCCAAGGAGACGGATCGTCGACTGTTGGCTTTCTATTATTTTCCACTTTTACCTGAAGCCTACAAATATGTTTCCACTGTAATCAGTTTACTGTACTGTATAATAGAAAAAACAGTATGTTACTGAAAAAATAAACATTTTACTTGAAGATCAAAGTTGTTGGAGATTAATAAAACCATTGTATGAGCCTTCATTTCAGACTCAGCTATAGATCTTGACACCTTTAAATGTTTTTCTTTCTCCTCTGAGCCCCTCTTTCCTGCTTCKATTAATTTGACTTTCCACCAGCTGTTGGGCTACATTCCAGTGGAGTCACACAGCGAGTGTCTCTAAGGAGAATTACTGAGCAAACACGGCAGAGAAGTATCGCCTGTCGCTGGAAACGGCTCAGATTTACTGTCCTGTCGTGCTGATGGGGACATTTTTACTCCCACTGATCAAATCTATACGATTCAGGCGTCCTCTCGCCTTACAGCGGAGGTCAGATTATACGTGGGGCTGTGTTTTTTTTTTAACTTCTGGACTCAGGATGTTACCTCCTTGTACTCCTGGATCTGGCTCTGCTCGAACATGGAGAACACGTTGGAGGATCCACCCTCACCCTGCTGCTGCCTCCTCTTGGCCTTCTTGGGTGCCTATGAAATAATAATAACAATGATTATTAATTAAAAAGTATAATTATAAAATGTAAATCACAGTTTCTGGCTAACTTTGCTGACAAATTGATCCAATAGCTACATTGTTTGCCTACAGAATGATGCTTTTTGTTGTAAAAAAAAGTTTCCTAAATAGGATTTGATTTAATTTCCACATTTTATCATGATAAAGGTTTTCTTGTGGGTCCAAATCCAGCTTGGGGCAGGCTCAAGGTTAAGAGACTCTAACAGATTCCCTCCGTGGGATGATGGAAATCCACAAGCTTCATCTCCTCCGGTTTTTTAAGAAGATCCTTGGTCTTCTGAGGAAAGCAGCCACAACTCACCATCTCTCAAGCTCGTGGGGTCGTTGGTGGTCAAGAAGAGAAGCCTACGCCAAGCCGATGTGACTGACATGTATGTATCGGCCCCTTGGGGTCTTATATATTAGCTCAAGAGGTGGGCTAACTTTAGCCACACCATCAGGTTTGGCAGGAAAGCAGAGCCGACGTAGAGTAAGAAAAACAGGGAGGAGTGTGAGGAGGTGGCCGAGCGGATCGTCTTACTGACGCTCCAAAATAGGCTGCAAAGTCTTGGAATGAGGTGAATTCAATGCCAACAGACAGGCTTAACTTTGGTGTCATCTGTGGACTAATAAGGCCAAAGAGAGGCACAGGACACACTCGGGGACAACTAAATTTTACCCTCTTTTTGTCTTTTGTCTTTGCTGTGGTGGACACGCATTGTGGACAAAGACACAAAGAAGAGCCCAAGCTCTGCTTTTTGTTCATTCATCCTGAGCTGCTTGTCGGCCCTCATCTGTTCGGTGTGAACATATCCTGAAGTCATCAGCTCTATAAATGATGGGTCTGCTCTGCTGTGAGGGTTGGTGCCCAGCGTCTCATCACTGGATGTTGTTAGGTATATAAACAGCAGTGAAACCTGAAAACAGTTGGCGGGACGGACATTGGTCAGGCTCCAATGATGATGCTTGTCAACTGACGGTGCAGTTCTGAGAAACACAAACACCTCTTTACTACTGACACGGTGATTAGGACCTGCTTTGTAAACAAGGTTAACGCAACTGAGCTTCTGCCCTGTGATCTCAAACACAAATGAATAAACTTGACTTACACAAACTTCTGAGCATTGACAGCTTCTTTGTGTCAAATGTTATTAGTGATAACAGTTTCCTATACAGAGAAGAATGGTTTTTTGTTTGTTTTGTAATACTTTCACATTTCTTTATTGAGAAACATTTATGATGAACTTTAATGTTGTGCAAAAAGCTTAGAAAATTTTTCATATAGCCTCCAACCAGACGTTTTTGTCTCTTTTTAAAGTGATTTTTTAGTTTAGTTTTTCTCTGAACTTTAGCTACTTTTTAAACTAATTTTCAGGTGAGATCTGTACCGCTTTCATTCAGTTTTATTTTTAATTGTTAATCTATTTAAAGCCACTGTCACACTATAATGTTTAGACAAATTTTGCCAACTTATAAAAAAAATTGAAGACATCTGCATTGAAGATGGAATCAAAAAATTGCGTAAATACTGTAACGCTAACAAATTGATCAAATATACAACTTTTATGTGTAATTTAGATGTATAAAGTTGTCTAAAACGTTATAGTGTGACAGGACAGGGCCTTAACTCTGACCAGTGGATCATCAGCTGCAGCTTCTAAACCCAAGAAAGGACCGAATGGAATTATTAGTCGACTGGCTGTGGCGGCCATCTTGATTTAGTGTCATGTATATTTATTTTACATTCTGAAAATGTATTTAATATCTGTACTGTATGGTTATTGGTTAAGAAAAGTTATGTCTTYCATTCATTTAGAGAAGATTAGATGTACTGTTAGGGGATCTGTAAACAAACGTTTTGACATTTGGCAGCCATTTTTATCTTATGTAGAAAAAATTTCGGCAGATAATTTTGTGTAAAGGTTAAATATTATTTCATTATACACAAACCTGTTCATTGTATCACTTGTAATGAATACAAGATCGATTTTGGTTGTTTCAGTGGATCCGGTATAGGAGGGGAGGGATGGGAGGGATTTTGGGGGTGTGTGTTTTGTTTTGTGTTTTTGTAAGTCTGTTCTTTTTTGTGGTTTGTTAAAAAAATTAATAAAAAGACCTTGATCAAAAAAAAAAAAAAACATTCACTCATAGCATTTTCATGAAATTCACATATAGGAACTTAAGGTGGACACTCATGGCTATAGGTGGCCGGATGGCACCACTC